TTTTTAATCTTACAGAGTCATAATTTTGGGGGGTCATTTAATAGCTTGATTGGGCATAGAAACTAAATCACTACTTCCATATCTACTAATATCTTAAAAAAGATTAGGCCTAAGCAAAATTAAGCATCCTATTTGGCAATTGGAAACTTAATTATGAAATGGTGATGAGATAAGATACAGAGTAGAATTTACTGCAATAAAATTATTTCTCTTATTCCTCTAATTAAACATCAGCCACATAGTCCATGTATCAAAGACATTCTAACAAAATAAATATAAATGTGACATACTGAAACATATTGTGATTCTCACATGCCCTAATCTGAGAGAAGATGAAGAGTCAATGGAAATGGATTCTAGAAGGAAACCGGTCATGTTTACTAGCCAAGGGAATCAAAATCAGTGTAATAGTTGCTACCAGCAGAAGTGATTCAAAGGTGCCTTTAGAAAACATTCTGGAGCAATTGATGATATGGTGGTTTTTTTTTTGTTCACTAGAAATGTCAGGTACACAGTGTAAATGTCTACCAAAAGTTTTTTAAAAAACCGAACTCGCTTAGATCTATAAATTATACTCTAATACTTCAGGTTTTTTAACAAAGCAAAAAGATAATAATGTCACAATATAAACGGAGGGGATATCTGACACATACCTACAGAAATAAGACATGCTTGAAAAACCAAAAAAAAAAAAATCAAGGCAGTCACAACTGAGGGGTTTTACATAATGAACTAATACCACTAATAACTAACCAGCCAGTATTTATTGAATGTTTGCAATTTTCCAGATATTGTTCTAAATGCTCTCTCTATATACTAACTTCTGTGATCGTCAGAACCCATAGGTAGGTACTATTACCATTCTCATTTTACAAATGACAAAACTGAATCACCCTGAGCACAAACACCCCATCAAGACTATACAGTTCAACTCTACCAGTATGTTGCTAGAGATCACTTTGTTGTATGCCTTTCATCTGCCTTCAAAATTTCAGGGCTTAAAAAATAAATAAATAAAATAAAATAAATCTGGGCTAACTGGCTATATAAAATTGAATTCAATATTTTACAGTTATGTTGTTGCTGTTATGTGCCATCGAGTCACCTGCAACTCATAGTGACCCTGTTTACAACAGCCCTAAACCCTGCTCTATCCTGTGCCAATCTTATTGTCTCTGGCACACCTATCCCCATTACCCCAGTCACTGAATCAAGCCATCTCATCAAAGGTCTTCCTCTCTTGCATTGTCACTCCACCCTCCCAAGCAGGTTATCCTTCTATAAGGACTGGTCTTTCCTTGCAACATGTCCAAAGTATGTCCGACGAAGCATCAGAATCCTTGCCTCCAAAAAGCAGCCCAGCTTCACCCTCTCCAGAATGAACTTGTTTGGTCTCCTAGAAGCCCATAGTATATTCAATCCTCTTCTCCAGCACCACAGCTCAAAGGCATCAACTCTTCTTCTATCATCCCTAGTCACTGTCAGATTTCTGATGCATAGCAAAGACCATGGCCTGTATCAGGTGCACCTTAGTCTCCAGACTGACATGGTTGCTCTTCAGTATTTTGGAGAGGTCTCTGACAGCAGACTCCCAGAGTAATTCATCTTTTAATTTCCTGGTTGCTAGTGCCAAGAGTGTTGATTGTGGAGCCAAACAAAATAAAACTGTTAACAATCTCAGTCTCTTCACCACCTATTGTGATGCTGCCAGTTGGCCCAGTGGTGACAATCTTTGTTTTCTTGTTCTTGAGCTTCAACTACTAGTCAACTATTCCATGACAGGTGAACAGAAGACCTCTGATTGGAAGTTATGCTCTAAGCTACAAAAAGAGACTTGCTGAATTTCAGTCCTATGGTAGAGCATCTGTCTCGAGTGACTTTCTATTTAATGTCTTGCAATAACCTAATCAAGAAAAATATTTCTGGAAACCTATCTGAAATGGCCAGGAAATACTGTTTTATTTGTAACAAACCATTAAAAAGGCAATCTACTTGAGGTCTAGAATATTTTGCACCTCCATCATCTATTACAAACATTCTCACATTTTCTTGACAGCATGTTCAACCCATTCCTGACTGCAAAAGTTATTCTTTTGTTAAGTATTGTCAAGTCAAGGATGACTCATAGCAAATCTATGAACAAGACCTAAAGCCTGTTAACTGTCATCATTTCTCTAAGTTCATAGTTTCCAGAAGCACGCTGTTTAGGAAGTGGATGCCACTCCTGCTTCCAAGTCTGCCTTAATCTGGGAGCTCCACCAAACACTGTCCACCATGGGTAACCATTACGGCATCTGAAACATCAGTGGCACAGTGTTTAGCATCACAGCAACCCCAAGTTACCTCTGCACAGTAAACTTAGAGACCAGTGTTGTACTACTCAGAAGAATGCTTATCCCGAACACATTTAACACTAGGCCCTAGGGCCCAACTGCCTTTTAAATACTGTCCTCCACGAGCTTCTTACCAACTCCAAATGACAGGCCTACAGCCCACAGACAACTGCTAGCTAAATCCAGCAAATCAAATCAACTCTAACACAACTGTGAAGGGGGGAAAAAACCCAAAAAAACAAAAAACAACCAACCAAATAGTTCACATCTGTACTTCAACCCAAAACAAGAGAACCCACCTTTGTAGAATCCAACCACTTCACACATCAGCCCCTGGAGACCAACTGCCTTTTAAATAAAAGGCCCTCCACCAGGTCATTACCAACTCCAAACATTGTTAGAAATCTTCTAGTTCCTCCTCTTTGCCTCAAGTTGTTGGTGTATGCATTTGAACAATAGCGGTATTCAATGTGTATGGATACTACCCTATCACTCAGAACACTGAATTTCAAGGTGGATCTAGAAATGTCTTTTTTAACTATGAAAGCAACCCCATTTTTCCTCATCTTTTCATCTCTGCCAGACCATCTCATTGCACCAATACATATATCCACAGTTCTACACATTCCATTCTTTTCTTAACAATGCCCACTTTTCCTACATTACTGTTGTTGTTATGCGACTCATAGCGACCCTATGTACAACAGCCCTAAACTTTGCTCTGTCCTGTGCCAATCGCACTGTCTCTGATACTCCCATCCTGATTACCCCAGTAACTGAATCAATCCACCTCATAGAGGGCCTTCCCCTCCTGCACTGTCCCTCCACCCTACCAAGCATGATGTCCCTCTCCAAGGACCCATCCCTCCTTACAACATGTCCAAAGTATGTCAGTTAAAGCTTCAGAATCCTTGCCTCCAAGGAACAGCCCAGTTTAACCCTCTCCAGGCTGAATCTGTTTGTTTTCCTAGCAGTCCATGGTACCCTCAATACTCTTCTCAAGCACCACAGCTCAAAGGTATCAATTCTCCTTCTATTCTTAGTCATTGTTCAACTCTCTGATGCATAACAAGTTATTGCAAAGACCATGGCCTGTATCAGACACACCTTAGTCTCCAGAGAGATACCACTGCTCTTCAGTACTTTGGAGAGGTCCCAAAAGATGCAATATGTCTTTTAATTTCCTGGCTACTGGTGCCAACACACATTATTACTCACATTCCACGTTCCAATCATTCGTTTCTCCTTACAACTGTTGCTCCTTCTTTGTGTTTCCATATTTGAGGGCTCAGCTTCAGTTGCCAGTATCTGCTGGTCTAAGTGTGCTCTATTGCATAAAGGCTTTTAAAGGCCTGTTATTTCGGAAGTGAATGGCCAATCCTTCTCCCTCATCTGTCTTAATTCCAATGTTTAGATTTCGAACAGTATTTGACAAGTATTTTAGAGAAAGGCATTGAAAGACATTTATATGAAAGACATTTCCCCAATTATAGAAGCAACCAATAGATTCAGTGTTGCTACCTGCCCCTGGCATGTGTGTCTTGACCCATCCCTTTCCCTACTCCACGAGCATTCCTTTCCACTCCCACCTACTTCATTCCACACTTCTCTCCCCTTATCAAGCCCTTAATATGATGGCTTAGGCCTCAAGCCTTCTGGGGTGGTGTGTCCTTTAGATCTAGTATGTCAGACTATTTTAATACTAGACCCAGCCTGCCAGACTTCTCACCACACATCCTATCAAGGACATTTACTTTAGCCAGCAAAGTTTAAAAACCTAATCTGAAGCTACACAAAATTAGTTACTATGTTCTTTTGTATAACCTGCAGATCTCTATTCTATTCTTACTACCCTTACTACACTTCTTCCATCCCAATTTTCATAGTATTTCTTACTATTTCAACCACCTATCCCCGACTCTGGGTTATGTATGCACAGCACTGAGATTCATTCTCATATATTTATATTGGTAAGCTTCATGCTAAAAAGTAGTTTCAAAAGGGTATTAGGAAAACTGGTGCAACTTCATATGAACACTAGAAATACTCATTATTTTATAAGCCATCAACCTTCAAAATCAGTAAGTAAGATTTTTGAGAATTCAAGACAGTCATACTCAGAAAACTCAGGAGCCCGTAACGTTCCATATTTATTTCTGACAAAGCTATACCATTCTAAACAAGTCTAAATCATTCAATATTTGCTTACTATGCTTTCTTCTAAAGAGTAAGATGTCTTACAATCAAGAATTATTCTCTATAAAAAAAAAATCCTTCAAATCTGTTTTTAAAGGGAGTGTAACTGTAAGGAGGAGGAGACAGAGAGAGGGATTGATTTTCCCTTTTTCTTTCTTTACCTTTACCTAAGCTCCCTCTACTGATCAGAATACAAAACAACCCATGGAATTACATTGCCAAATTTTATGCACATAAAAGAATGTATTCTTCAAATACTCGAAAATTAACATTTTAAGTAAAAACAGATGAGAGGAGAAAACTGACTTTACGACAGAAGAAATAAATACCTGAATTGGCAATTACATAATACTCAAATTATTTGTGTTCACGGTGCCATTTCAACACATTTCTTTTCAATGTTAACTTTACATTCATATAAAAAATTTCATATAAAAGAGTTTAATAATCTCCTGGTAACAAGAAGTTTACCTGTATTTGTTCTGGCGTCCATTGGTCTAGGTTAACAGATTTAACCCTGGATATATGAACCCCAAGATTTCTATGGATTCCAGCACATCTGATGCAAATAAACACTCCAATATTCCAGGAAGCCCATCGGGGACCTAATTAAGAGTGGGGAGGAGGAGAAACCAAAGAAAGTCATTATTAAAAACTAAAATAAATCAGCATGATACATATTAAGAGACATTCATGGTTTTTATATAACTATAAACAGAAGTTTATAGATTACACTCAAATTTACAAATGGTACTGACTTCTGCTTGCTAAGGAAGGGATGGATGTTGGCAGCTATGAGAAACTGTATGTTCACCAGCCCTCAAGAACTGTAATAATATTTCTCATGTTGCGTATCTGCAAACTTTTCCCAAATTTGACTAATATTTATAATAGTTTCTATAAACAATTTTCTACTCAGCACATCTGAATCTGGACTTTGTTAAATACATCAGAGTAAAAACAAAGTTGCCAAATAAATGTACAAGGTATTGTACAATAAGTTGTCTGATAGATGTACAAGGTATGGATAAAGGTACAAGTTAACATTTATTTAGTAAAAATCACTTAGTAAGAAAAAGGCAACTAACCAATCCAATTTTTTAAACCTGGGCAAAAGATACGAATGAATAATCCACAGAAGAAATCCATGACAAGGAAAACAGGGACAACCTCACCTCATCAATAATCAAGAAAAATGTCCTTTATAACTACAGTGAAATTCATTTTGCATCCAGCACAGTTTTTTGCATTAGGAAAATTATACTGTAGAGTAAAATCACTGTTGGTACTTAAAATATTCCGAGGGAAATCATTGTTTTAAGGATAAAAGAAACAATCCTTGTATTCACATTATTTTATAGATCAGTATCTTAATACTTTTATAGACTAATTTTTGTTTTGCAAAGTTTCTTAACATGATAGTAAACATCACTTCAAAATGTTTTTAGAAAAAAAATGTTTTTAGAACTTTCAAAGTAATTTCCATCTTTAAAAAAATCTGGATTGTATACCAACGAAGGAATTTTTCTTTTACTTTTCAAAGCAAAGAGCGAACTGCGGGGGGAGGGGTGGGCACAAAGAAAAATGCAACGATTAAATGGAAATCCAAAATCCCTGTAAATGTTCATTAAAATTAGAAAAATTTTAAAAATCTGAGTGAAAGTTTACAAATCATACTGGTCTTTCAATCATTTGTAGATACTTTGTTTTATAACATTAATCACAATTGAGTCATGTAATAATTAAATGCCATATCTAGCCAAACCTGTATTTAAGCCTTCTCTGAGCAATGATCTTAGATCAGTATCAAATCAATGTTATTTCCATCTTTTCAGGTGCCTCTCAAAGTCTAAACCTCTGGGCCAACTGAAGAACTTGTTATGTAAAACTTCAACTACATTGTTAGCACTCCCACTTTTTCACTACTACTTTACATATTAAGGGTCAGAGAATCCATTCCAACTGCAGTTGCCCTTAAGAGCCATTCAGTAACATTAGTCTTAGTGACAGCACCCTACAACAACAGATTAAAACCAAGCCCTATCTTGCATCATCCTCACAGTATGTTCAAGACAATCACTGTAGTCAGTGTGTCAATTGATCCTGTTTTGACTCCTCCAAGACTTCAATCTTTTCTCTATCCTTCACAACGGGCCAATTAATCCAGAATCACAGCTTTTGTTTTCTTGATGTTGTTGAAAGCTGTAGTCTTTGATTTTCTGAAGTGTTTCAAGATTTCACTTTCTTCAAACACGGTTGTATTATATACATATTAAATACATTAACTGTTGATTACTCTTCTTTCAATCTTGATGCCATATTCTTCTTCATATGTTGTTAGGTGTCATTGAGTCGCTGATGACTTATAGTGACCCTATGAATGAAAGCCCTTAACACTTGAATAACTTTGTTTTCTCCAAGTTTCTAGAATTTCTGGAGGTAAGCCATTTTGGCAATGGATGCCATTCCTGCTTCCAAGCTTGTTTTAATTGGGACGCTCCTCCATCATAGGTAACCCTTTTCTCATTTGACCCATCAGTGTCACAGTGTTTAGCATCACAGCAACCACAAGTTACCTCTGTACAGCAAATGGACAGACCTGTGCTATACCACTTAGAAGATTATTTGACCAAAAACAATTAAAACCAGGCCTGAGGGCCACAGATTAAAATCACCCCCCTTTGGCTTGGTAGCATCACTTTCTATCCACTAGGCCAACAGTTCTTTTGGTATGTATAATCAATATTCTCCAACAATACTACAATGCAAAGGCATCAATTCTTCCTCCATCTTCCTTATTCACTATTCATCTTTCACATGACTATGAAGCAACTGAAAATAGCACTGGTGGATCAGAAGCACTTTATTCTTTAAACTGGCATCCTGCTCTTTAGCGGTTTAAAGAGGTCCCTGACAGCAAATGTGCCCAGTTTAACAAGTGTTTTGATTCCTTCACTATTGCAAACATGGGTGTTGTTTATGAGTATAAGCAAAATTAAATCACTGACAGCTTCAATCATTCTCCATATATCCGCTATTGGTCCAATGGTGAGAATTTTTGTTTTCTTAATGTTGAAATGTAATTCATATTCAAGCTGGTAGTCTTTGGTTTTCTTCAGTAAATGCTTTAGGTCACCCATGTGCATATCACAGGTAGTTAATTAATCTTCCTCCAATCCTGATGCCACATTCTTCTTCACAAAGCCCCGCTTCTCAAATAATTTGCTCAGGACACAGAGTAAATAAGTATGAAGAAAGGATATAATGTGATTCTCAGGTAGGCACTATTACCATTCTCATTTTACAAATGACAAAAATGGAAGCACCCTGAGCTTAAGCATCCCATCAAGATGACACAGTTAACTACACCAGCATGTTACTAGAGAGATCACTTTGTTGTATGCCTCAGATGCACAACATATCCTGATTTGAAATCATGCAGTGTTCTAGGGGAGCTCTGGTGGCCTAGTGGCAAGGAGCTGCAACTACAATTCCAGAAGCGCACGGTTTGAATCCACCAGATGCTCTGCCGGGAAAGGAGGGACAATATCCTCCTGTACCAGTCAAATCTGATTTGACGGTACATGCACACAAAAATAATAAAATTTTAAAAAAATCATGTAGTGTTCTTTTTCCCTGTTTTGTTCAAACATCTGCTTCTTGGTCTATACTTAAGTTTCACAAGAACAAAGAAAGTGGTCTGGGATTCCATTCTTTTCAATACTATCCATAATTGATCATAGTCTAAACAGTCAAATGCTTTTGCATCATCAATAAAAGAGAGTATCTTTCTGCTATTTTCTGTTTTGAATCAAAACTCATCTGACATCAGCAATGATATTGTTGTGCCATGGCCTCTTCTGAATCTATCTTTTAGTTTACTATTGTTTTGATAATTTGCATCTTCTACTGGATCACATATTTTTAAATTAGTACCAATATTAATCTCTTCCAGGTAGCTGTTTTCCAAAATTTCTTGGCATAGACTGAAAGATTATGAAGAAGTTAACTTTTAACCCTTCTCAGGTAAAAGCCATAAAACCTCACAGGACTTTTGCCCTCTTTTAGAAAAACAAGGCCATAAAACGGCTCACCCACATCTGCGAGTACAGATAAGAGAAATTCCAGGAATTGTTTTTCTGAACTTTACTCCCCACTCCCCCACTTGCGCCGACCCTGCCCACTTGCGCCGACCCTGCTTGCCTCGCGCGCGCCAACTTGCTTTTAAATGTACCAATCAGATAGTTTTCCTCGCTTACCCCCGCGCCAAATTATTACCAATCAGAACTGCCTACCTCAGTGTATATTCAAATACACCAATCAGCAACCCTCCCTGTGTGTTAGCCCATGTTTGCCCGGGTTATTGCCTTTATAAGCTGTATGTACCCTTAGCTCGGGGCTCAACTCCTGCCTCTGCGTAGGTCAAGAGTTGTGCCCCAGCGCGCTGGATGGAATAAAACCTCATGCTGTTTGCATCAAGGACGGTCTCTCTTGAGTGATTGGTGCTGGCGACCGATCTCATTGGGGTCCGGCTCTGTGGATCCAACAAGACTAGTGAACAAGTCCAGGGCTTCATCTGTTTGTTGAAATAACTCAATTGGCATTCCATCAACTTCTGGAGCTGTTTTTTGCCAATGCCTTTGGTGCATCTTGAAATTCTTCCTTCACTACCACTGGCTCTTGATCATATATGTTACTTTTTGAAATGGTTCAGTGTTGAACAGGGTTTTTTTTGTACCATAACTGTGTACTCTGTCCATCTTCTTTTGATGCTTTTGGCATCATTTAACATTTTACCTAAAGTACCTTTCAATATTCTAACTCAAGGCCTGACTTTGTTCTTCAACTCTGTCAGCTTGAGGGAGCACTAGTAATCTCATGAGTAAGGAGTTGTGTTGCCAACCCAAAGTCACATGGTTCAAATCCATCAGATGTTTTGCAGGGGGAAAATAGGCAATCTCCTCCTGTAAGCATAAACTGCTTCTGAAAAGCTGCTGAACAGTCAAGCGTGAGACAGTACTGACTCAATGGTAAATAACAACTATTCAGGTCTTTGCACATTTCATTATAAAACTTTGCTTTATCTTCTTTAAGAACTATTGTATCCTTTGAAATTTTCTGTTCAGCTTTCCACCTTCATTTCTTCCTTTTGTTTTGGATTCTGTATAATGAAAAGCATGTTTCAGAGTTTCTTCTAAAGTCCATTTTGTTCTTTTAATATAATTTTTCTTAAAAAATTTATTTTTATTGTGATTTTAACAAAAGTTTACAGAAAAGTTGGATTTTCATTCATTCATTCATTGTTGCACTTTTTCCACCCTACTTTAAATTCACTTTAACTTAAAAATATAAATTTTTTTTAAAAATCATTCACTTTTGCATAATTTCTCTCCTCTTCTCCAGTCCACTTTGCTATGCACCTCTTACTCTATACTGTTGTAATACAAATAATGCTTAATTATTAATGGTTTTTTACTCTTTCTATGAAAGATGTCTTTAATGTCATCCCACAATTCTTCTGGTCTTTGGTCATTAGTGTTCAATGCATCAAATCTTTTCTTGAGATGCTTAAGTTCAGGTGGGATAAAATCAAAGTCAATTTTGG